AGTGGTGAATTAAGATGCGGTGAGTTCAAGTATGAATGTATGTGAATTACAAATCCCGAATTTTACTCGGCAATCTAATAATGGAAAGCTTTTAGATAACTATATATTCATTATTAAATTTCTAGACCCATTTCTTACTATGAAAGTAAAATAATTTAGGCTTAAATTGAATACAAAGTGTATGTTTTCATTGGCCGTTTTAAAGTAAAAGTCAAAACTTAAGGTGATGTTTACTAAAGAAAATAAACTTGCGAAATAGCCGAAACCCGAATAACATATACATGTTCGTCAATCTGTATATACACGAAATAGCGCACATCCTATTCTCTCCAAGAGGCTTCCTACCTCTGGGCAATCCTGTCAATATAGCATATAGCTACCGTATAAACTGTACGATGGGAATAAAGTGCTTGTATGAACAGCCTTTTCATTTTACGAGATACTTTCAAGAAACTTTAGAGGGCTTATTGCCTAAGCAACGCTATAATTTTTGAAGAAATTGTTCATTTGGGATCACTATGGCATAAAGCTGTCATACAAACTGATCGATAAAAATCAAGTTCCAGATTTTTCGATGCTTTCTAATGCTGTGAGGGGAATATTATAGCTTCGATGCAGCCGAAGTTAAAGTTCTAGCTTGATTTGCAGTACGAAGTATACGAAGGGCGACGACTCATTAATCATTTGGGAGCGCTCACCATTGATGCTCGTTTGTTTGTCTTCATTAACCGATAAACGATTTTACAATACGTGAAGAATTTTTAACAGAAAAGTTACATTTTGCGAGGACCGATTCGTATGTGTGTGTATAGTTTAACTCGTTCGTCCACTAATTGAATACTGGCAATAATAACATTCCCATCGCAGTCACTGCGAATATAAAAACATAGCAAAATCGTAAAAACTCCGTATACCGTTAAATCAAATTCTTTAATGAGTTCGAGGTGTGAGCTCTTGACATTGTCCTTCACACAAACCAACAACACGGCAGCAGTATATTAATGGCATAGCTGTAAAAAGCAAATATGCCAACAATAATAAACTGAGTTAAGCGAGTGCGAGCGGCAGCAAAGTGCACGAGCACATGCAATTTTTATTTCGCTTTACGCTTTTCGCTTTCCGCTCAACGACTTGCCATTTGTAACTGGCACTTATATAAGACTCCGACGCGTAAACCACTCGGTTGGAGGGAAGCGCCCTCAAGCGAAAACCAAACAAATGCATAGCTTTCATATGGACATATACATATGTACATACATGTATTGGTGCATGTTTGAAGGTATGTATGCATCTATGTATGTGGGAATATGCTTGCGAGTGTGAGCCTGTATGTGTGAAAGCCCGAATGCTCAAGTGATATTTTCGCTACGCCTGTAAGTTGCGCTCATTCCTATGTACGCTTGTGTTGGTAACGAAGGAAATCATAATAGCAACAACAAAATGAATGCGAATAACTACAACAACAGCGAAAGGGCTAACCAAGCAACAGCGTAGCGCCAAACCCTGCAAACCAAAATCACTCAACCGGGCCGCGTGCAGTCGAGCAAGCGCCAGTCCGCACGTAAGTCGACCCGCTCGACAGGGCGTTCTGGCAACCTGATTGCATTTAAAATGCAATACAATTTACATTTGCCACATTGCTACTCGCCGTTGGGGCAAGCGAGCGCACACACACAGATGTATGTAATTTCTTGCTGTGTTGCCACCCGTTTCGCCAAGCGCCAGTTTCCCTCCAATTCAACATATAATTGCGAGAAATGGTAAAAATAAAAAAATTAAATAGAAGTTTCCGCTCACACACACACACACACTCATTCACAAAATCGATATGCTGCTGCCATTGCCGTTGGCGCGAGTATGTATGTGTGTGTGTGTTGGTGCGTGCTGCACGAAATCAAAAATCGATTATTTCATTAGTTCTGCAATGTTGGCCACTGGTGGCCACTTCACGCAGCAGTGAGCAGATAATTGCAGAATGCTTCCCTTTTTGACCTCAAATAAGCACGAGTGGAACGTTTTTGTTTCGGAAAATTATATATGTACTTACAAACCTAAGGGCTTACTTTTGTATGTTGGATCAGGTTTGCAATATTATAATATTAATAATATTGTCCGACTTGAGTAAGCACATTGTTTCGTACCAATTTCGTACGAAACGAAAAAAAGCTGGAGTGGATGTCGGTTGTCTCTACATTTGATACGGCATTTGGTCTTTTTTATGCTCTGAATAGGCAATTATAAATTTCAGTAAGGTTGGCCACTTCACCACTTAACATTTCAATTTGGTACAACACTTGGAAATTGTCCAAAATTATTTCACAAACTCATATTGTTCAGTAAAAAAAAAAAATTATTTCGTAATGGTATGGTAAGTTTTATATGCTTAATTTAGGTGTGGTGACTTTTAGTGTGGTGAGTTGAAGTATGGTGAATTATAATTACAGAAGATAAGTCGGTAACCTAACAATAGAGCGATAAAATAAAATATTTCTCAAATAATTTACTCAATTATTGCAGAGTTGTCAGTTCTTTTTCAGGAAAAAGAACGAATTCGATTTTATTACGTGGTAGTGGCTATCTTGGAATCGGTTATATCGTAAGTCGGTATGTGATAAGTTCAACTTGCTTCATTTATGATGTGATGAATTCAAGTCTGGTGAGTTTTGACTTGGTGTATTAAAAGGTGTTGAGTCCAAATCCAAAATTATTTCCCAAATTCACATTTTCGAAATAAACGTTGAAAAAACGTTCATCGATAAATCATCTGTTTTTCCGTTTGGTGTGGATTGTGGTAGGCATTCGAAATGTGGGAGTAAGTAATTTTACCATCATTATCTAGCATTATAACATGATCTTGACCAACTTCTTTTCCCAGAATTTAATGAAATCAACACAAACAAAATATATTTTCAACAACATGGTGCGTTGCCTCACGTTGAACGTCTAAATATGGACACCTTGCGTGTTAAGTTTGACGACTCATTAATTTCGAGAATTGGCTCTGCCAAATGGGCGCCGAGATTAAGTGATTAAACGCCTTTAGATTAATTTATCTCTGTTTTTATTAAAGTGAAGGCTTACGTCAATCAACAAGCAACGCTGGAGGATAACATTCAGCTCACTATTGCCGAAATTTCAGCTGAAATGCTGCCTTGGTCATCGACGATTGGCGAAAACTTGTGGAGATATGTGAACGGAGCTATGGAGGCCATTTGACAGAATTTTGTTTAAATCCTAGATGACATAAAAACAGAAAATTTTTGGACCGTATTTGTGTTGTTTATTTCTTAAATTCTCAACAGTGAGGAAAACACTTGAATATGAACTGACGGGGACGCTGATAAAGCCGAAAAAGAAAATCAAAACTTAGCGAAAGTTCACTAAGTCAAGATAGTTCTATTGTGTTAGGAAAAATCAAATTATCAAAAACACCATCATTTTCAAAATCATCCAGCAGCTTGCAGAGTTTGCTGGGAGCAATTATCGGCAGCCGTCCTGATGAGGACACTACCAGCAAGTCAAGCGATGCCTCTGATGAGCTAGTGCGTGGTATATACTATATGACGATTCGGGTGCTGTTGATAAACCAAAATGCAACTCGCGGCTTTCGGAGCGAGCTAAGAAGAAGCCTTGGTACAACGTTTTTGTTAATGGAGCTTAAACTTATTCAATATATTCGTACTATCTATCTTTCCGTGAATAGATAAGAAATCTCAAAAAAGAATTCAATCAAATATTTTCTAATAACAGTTTAACCTTTTGCGTTATATAGATGAAATCACTACGATACTCGGTACTTTCCATATTTAATACTTCTTTACACCCAAACTTAGTTCTTCCTTACTTTTGTTTTTCTCTTACTTTTCCTCTCTTGGTGTGGTGGTTTGTCATATATACTATATATAGAACATTGTAAAGATATTCGATTTTATATAGAAGATGGTATCAGAGCTATGTCTTTGTCTGCCAAATCCTAGAATTACTTCATATATTCATAGATGGCGCTATTAAAATTAATTATTTATGATTTTTAGTTAGCCCTAACCTTCCAAAAGTTCGTATATAAATTTGATAGCTGTCACTTCATAAGCTTGTAAATTATATCATTTTGATTGATGATAATTTTGTTATTGTGAAAAAATGATTATAATTAATTTCGCGTGTTGATAAAATATTACTTTTTGAAGGGAAAAAATACAGTGGAAGCAAATACAAATGAAAAAATCAAGGAAAATCAACCATCAAGGATTGGTAAGCTAAGTTTAGACGTGATGAACGCCCAAAACGGCTTTTACCTACAAAAAAAATTAAAAAAGTTCACAAAATAATTTCGGATATACCCAATGTGAAGTCGTTTGAGACATCTATATTCTATAGATATCAACTGGTCCTATACATCATTAACGAATATTTGGACACGAGAAAACTCCGTGCAAAGTGGCTGCGGAGCCAAAGCAACGACGAGTTGATTCGCAGCAGTATAAAAGCGTAATAAACCCGAGTTTTTGCGTCGATAGGTAACAATGGGTGAAACAGAGCTCCTTCATTTCACTCCCAAGTCCAATCAGGATTCGAGTGGACTGCGAACGATGAACCCGCACATAAGCGTGAAAAAGTCAACAGTCTGGCAGGGTTATGCGTCTGTATTTTGAGGATGCAAATGGAAGCCTTGTTTTTTTTTTTTTTTTTTTTTTTTTTACTTTATTGCAAAAGGAAACACTTGCCATGCAATAGGCATTATTGGACCGTTTGAAGGACGTAAAACGGGCGCATTTGAAGAAATTTGAACACACATGAAAAGAAGTATGCTTCCGAGAAGAACTCACAATTTAATATTTTTTTTTTTTTTAATACTTCACAGAATAATTTTTCTTATCCTGAGGTTCCACTTCCCCTAAAATAATATATATTTTTAATTTCCGCATTCAATTCACTTGAAATTCCTTGCTGTGATATATTTATAAATAAAGATAATTGAAAATTAATTTTTTTTCACTTACATAATGCGATGATACGCATCTGGCTGGGCCTGCGTACACGTCACGGATTGCTCGGATTCCGTGGAGTCATCACGCAAGGTGGCAACTCCAAGCGGTAATATGGGTATTATAGCAGCTGTAGCAGCTGCTGCTGTTGCCGGAGGGCCCGCCACCACCGAATGATGTGTGGCTGGCGGCGGTCCAGTTATAGCCTGCGGTGATGGTGTCGTGCTTACACCCTCCTGCAAGAAATTCATATGCAAAACGCATAATAAGTAAAATATTTCAAAAGCTGGAAATAGGCTTAATAAAGGTGTGGCAGTAAAGGCAGAAAGTAACAACGGACACACGTTGAAAGGAAAAGAAATTAAACTAAGAAGTCAATCTTCGGCGCTGTCGAAACGAATTAAAATATAAACGGCGTGATGGAAGCTGCACGGAAAGGAAGCAAAAAAGCAAAAACAAAGCAAACCGCAGTTGACGCTTTAATGAGCTGTCCAAATTGGGCGCTGAACAAACGGAAATTGCAATCACGTTCACATACCAACACACATAAATGTTCATACACGGCTGCTCACCTTGATTTCGGCTGTTTCCGGTGCCGAATACCTTTTGCGCTCGTAGTGTAGCTCGCGCTCAATGGATCGACTGCGAAACGCCGGCGGACACGAACGATCTGGTGGCGTTTGTATGCGGGGCGCTGTGGTCGTGCCGCTGCTGCTGCTGCCAGCGCCAGTCACCTGCTGTTGCTGTTGCTGTTGTTGTTGCTGCTGTTGTTGCTGCTGCTGCTGCTGTTGTTGTTGTTGTTGCGACTGACCCGATGTTGTGGGCGGACTCTTCTCGCTCGAGCCGGCCTGTGACTGCTGTTGTTGTTGTTGTTGTTGTTGATGCAACTGATGTTGCTGCTTATGCTCCTCACGCTTCTGCTGTCGGCGTATTTCCAGATCGAGCAAACGCGCCTCACGTGCCTCCTTGTCGCGCTGCAAGGCACCAGAAAGAGAGAAGGAAGACTCGTAAATTCTTAGCTAACGGTTAGTAAGTGAGTGAGTGCGTTTGTGATTTATGTGGCTTGTGTGGCTTGTGTCTTTTTGTCTGCAGGTGCAAATAAAGCATTCATTAAAAACTTAAAATAAAATGAAATTGCGACAGACGCTGTGTCTTCTTTACATTTTTTCTTTCATCTTTTGTTTGTGTCTTACGTGCTGAGCCTGCTAGTTTGTGGCTGTGTGTATATGTGCTTCTGTATGTGTTTATGTGTGCGGGACTTACTCACCTTGTAATTGATGGCGTCCTGCTCCTCTTTCTTCGCTTCACGCTCGCTGCGCTGTCGGTCGCGTTGCTTCTCCTCGTCCGTTTGCGATGTTTTGCTGTCTGCAATTCAATTACAATCAAGTTTGTATCGATCAAATTTAACTAAACGAATTTCTAGATTGCATTTTTTGCTTTGCTTTTCGCAAACATCATTCACGTAATGGAAACGCAAAAAACGAAATGCTTTTATTTAAAATATTCATGCAAATGCATTCAAGACAAAGGATTGGAAAGTCAGGCATGCTTTTTACTCTAAAAAAAAATTACTTTACAAATAAAGTTCATCAAAAAAATTTAAGTTGGGTTGTCGATTTATAAAAAAGTCTAAAATATTAAACAGATTTAATCGTGCTACCAAAAGGTTTATTAGTTAATATTTTATGTAAAAAATAGCATATTATTTTGAATTTTATGTTAATGAAACATAGTTATCAACGTACAAGCCATTAATGAATACTATGATTTATCGCTGAAATATTAATTTAAAAAATAAAATTTGAAAAAAATTAAATATTTTTACTAAAGAGTTCTATCTATGAATATTTAAGCTAGTAGGTGAATTAGATAATATTTACTAAATCTAAATACTTATATGTTGGGATTTTATATCACTTCTCGTTAATGTCGCTTGTAGAATGGATACTATCACGCAAAAAGGTATATTTGTAAGCCCTGAAAAAATAATTCTCGAAGAAACCAAAATCATTTTCGACTTACATATCACCTTTTATAAGTATATGAAAGAAGAACGATAGCGAGAAACTATTTTTTAAAGACTATGTCGTCCCTCTCGAAGTAAACATCCTAGGCCCCCAATAAATTTTTTCCAATCCTCACAATCCTCAAGACAGTTTCCGGAATAGACTTCAATGCGCTTAGCGATTCACCTTTAATGTCTTCAATTGTCTCAAAACGGTTTCTCTGGAGCGGTCGTTTGAGTTTGCTGAATAGCCAGAAGTCACAGGGAGCTAAATCAGGCGATTATTGATTAAAAATTTGGTTAAAAGCTCACGAAGAATCAATGCAGTATTTGACGGTGCAATATCGTGTTGCAAGAATCTAGAGTTGTCGGCCCATAATCCCAGCTTCCTTTTAGGACAGGCTTCGCGCAAATAATACGTAACACTCAAATAGCATTCCTTATTGACAGTTTGGCCGATCAACCTTATTTTTCGACCTGCTCTCACGTGGTTTTTTCGGTTTCGGCTTACCTTTACCACGAAATTCGGCCGGTTGATCGTCTGCTTTGATATCATACATAGAAGCAAGACTCTTCGCCAGTAATAATACGTTTCATCATAACCTTTTTGTCGGAATGAATTTATTTTGCAACCAATCGTGGTTAAACCAACCTTTTTTCGTAGTGGAAGGGCTGTCTTTATAGCAATAAAGTACCGTTAGAAAAAAACATTGTTTTTAAAGACTTGTTAGAGTTACCATCATTCTTTTTTCGAATGGGTATACGTTTTTTTTTTCAGTATTTCACAGAAATACTTATAATGTCTCTATAATAATCCAGATCTTTAAAAAAAAACAAAAAACGGTGGATGCAGAAGCAATTCGAAGCCAAATTTGTAGATTTTTGCCATCGTTTTCACTGACTTATGAGAATATCGAGTTTATTGCGCTTGAACATCTGCAATCAATACTCAGAATCATCATTGTTTTTGGTCAAAAGTGAACTCCAACTTTCTCATACCCAGATATTCTTGAATGATTTGATGGTCATATTCAGTTGACATCAGTTCTTAATGTGTGCTTAGTGGGAGCACGCGTATTAACTAAAATAAGTGAATATTAACAATCGGAACGCCTGTGAACTAAAATAGAAGGAAAAAAAACAACAACAAAACAAAAGAACACATTGATTTAATGATCGATGACACTGACAGCCACGGGGCGTGTGGGGACAGCGAAGGCTGGTTCTACCTAAAGCAAGAAAGCGTATGAGCATTGATTCTTCAAAAGTAACTAAAAAATAATAAAGGATGAGTGAAGGGTCAAACAACTCAAACCGGTTTTCTGCGCTAGATTTGGACGTGTAAAGTAATAAACCCAATGCTAAGGAAAAAGAGGACTCAATGTTAACTACTGTAGTTTCTCACAAACAACCACCAATTTTTGTACCTCAAGTGAGTGATATAAATAAAATGTTGAAATGCTTTTCATTTATTATTGGTAAAGAAAATTTCAGCTACAAGTCAGGCAGATACGGACAAACGAGCGTAATGACCTCAAACAGTGATTGCTACAGAAAACTTGTTAACTATTTAGATACCAATAATATTACTTTTCATACATATCAAATGAACGAAGATAAGCCATATCGAATAGTTATAAAAAATATTCACTTCTCAACGATGATATCAAGCATGACTTAGCAAAAAACGGGCATACTGTACGAAATATTGTGAATGCAAAAAACAAAACTTTAAAATTGCCAATGTCAATATTCTTTGTTGATCTTGAACCTTCAACAAACAATAAAAAAGTATTTGACGTAAATCGCTTATGCAATGCCGTAGTCAAGATTGAGCCACCTATAAAATTTAACGATTTGGTACAATCCCACCGCCGTCATGAGTTCGGCCATACAAAGCAATATTGCAAAAAGCCTTATAGATGTGTAAAGTGTGCACTAGACCATCCTTCGTCTCATTGTTCAAAAGATACAACGAAATGCTTCCATTGCCTTCAAAATCATACCGCCAATAACAAAGGTTGTAAAATTTATCAGGAGTTAGTGTCAAAAACAGACTCGCTTAATAATAAGACAAGGCCTTACTTGGCTAAACTTACAAATGACGAACAACAAAACCATAAAAACGTTAGCTATGCTGATGTAACAAGAGGACAACTTAGTTCTACTACAACCACAGTATGCCATGAAAAAGTTGACAAACCCGAAGAATTGATTGTCAAACAAATTTAGTTAACCACAACACTAATAAATATGATGTCTTCTCTCTTAACTAAGCTATGCAATTAAGTCTAAAAATAGCGATTTGTAATGCCAATGGAGTAAGCAGCCATAGACTGGAAGTTGAATATTTTATAAAAACTAACAATATAGATATATTACTGGTTTCAGAAACCCACTTCACCGCTAAATCCTATTTTAAAATTAATGGATTCGATCTCATTACTTCAAACCACCCCGATGGTAAAGCAGACGGTGGTTCGGCAATTCTTATAAAATCATCACTAAAACACATCGTTTTAGAGCCAGTTTCAGTGCCATCAATTCAAGTAGCTTCTTTGAAAATCCAGACCGGCAGTGGAGTGATTGTTATAACTTCTGTATATCTTCCACCTCGATTCAATATAATCAAAGAAACTTTTAAATCATTTTTCGACAAAATGCGTCCCAGATTTTTTAGCCGGAGCTGATTTCAATGCCAAACATCCATGGTGGGGTTCACGCCTTACGATCTCAAAAAAGCTTAAATGTTTTATCTGCTGGCAGACCCACATACTGGCCGACTGAACAAAATTCCGGATCTAATGGACTTCGCAAATTATACCGGCATAAACCCACAACATCTAAAAATTTCGAATAATGAAGATATGAGCGCAGATCATTCCGCTCTCATTACCAATATGAATATGCCTGTGGTTGTCACATCCCGAAAGCAGCGTTCTTTAACTAAAAGATCGAACGTACGATTTTTCCAAACTTGGTTGGAGTGCCACGTAAACCTTAACATGGAAATAATAACAAAACGAGACTTAGAAGACGCTGTGGAAAACTTCACCCAAAAAATACAACAAGCCGCTTCCTTAGCTTCTCCTCTTAATTCATCTAAACCATACTGTACCAACAATGTGCCATATTCAGATGAAGTAGCGCAGATGGTACAAAATAAAAGACGACTTCGAAGGATCTCGCAGAATAGCAGAAATCCGGTTGACAAAACCAGGCTAAACAAGGCAATTAAAGAAATAAAATCCACGTTGGCAGAGCTGAAAGAAGCATCTATTTCTTAAGAATGCTGATCCAAATAAAAACATGAATACAATCTGTGGAAAGCTACTAAATACCTGAAACGTCCTCCGAAAAAAAAGATGAAAACAACTCTCTGTGTAGATCTGACAAAAGAAAAGCCGACGCGTTTGGCAACCACCTTGCGAATACTTTCAAGCCTTTTGCTCTCAATACTGACCATCAGCGCCAAAATGTTCAGACTTTTCTTGAGAATCCATGTCAAATAAATACGCCAATACATTACGTTAAACTGACTGAAGTACAATCAGAAGTGTCACAGTTGAAACTTTCTATATCGAATGGCCCAGATAATATTGATGCATGGACAATCAAATAATTACCAAGGAAATGCCTGCTATTCTTAGTTTTAATCTTTGGTTTTAGGCTAAGTCACTTTCCTACGCAATGGAAATGTGCCGAAATTATAATAATTCCGAAGCTAAACGAGCCCGAGAACGAAATAACCTCTTATAGACCAATAAGTTTGCTGACAATATTCTCTAAAATATTCGAAAGAATATTTCTTCGTCGATTGTTGCCAGTTTTAGATCCCAGACCATCAATTTGGATTCAGGCAACTACATGGAACCCCTCAGTGCCACAGAATGGTAAAAACCCTATTATTGTTTGGCAGTTTTCTTAGACATTCAACAAGCCTTCGATAGAGTCTGGCATGAGGGGTTGTTATTTAAAATAAAAATGAAACTACAAGCTCAATTCTACCTATTTCTTCGGTCATACCAAGATTGCAGACATTTTTACGCTAGCATTAATGATGACGCACCCGACATATAATATACGCAAGGCAGCGTGCTTGGCACAACGCTGTACACGATTTTCACTACCGATATGCCAATAATACACGACGAAAATATAACTGTTGCCACTTATGTGGACGACACCACCATTCTTGCATCTGCTTACTCTGCAAACGTAGCGTCTGAAACTGTTCAAAAACAACTGAACGCAGTTGAATCCTGGCTTTAAAATTGGAACATTATGGTAAATGAAAAAAATCAGCGCATGTTACCTTCACCATGAAAGCAGTAGATTGCCCCAGCGTCAATCTCAATCA